AAATGTTAAAAAAGTGTAAAAAGTCAAAAGATAAAATTGTAAACAGGTATAAAAACAGAACAAAAAAAGTAAACATGTATATAATGTTGAAAAGATAAAATTGTAAAAGGACAGATAAAAATCACAAAATAAATTAAAATTATAAAAGGACAAATAAAATCACAAAATAAATTAAAATTGTAAAAGGACAAGTAAATCACAGAATAAATTAAGATATACGGACAAACTAATTAAATGGTGCTTAAATTACGTTTTCCTTGGCGGCCGTCGATGTCTTTTCTCTTCATAACCAAAATTATAAAGTATTCGATGTGCCGCGAATTATCATATGATTGGGTCATCAGCGATACCACGTTCTCCGGTGCAACCTGACAGTTTACACCGGTGAACATGGCCGGCCTCTCCAAGTCCTATTTTCTACATTACCGACGAAATTTAGGAATTTTCGACAAGCATGGCTCTATAGAAGAGGCAAGACAGACTCTCACAAAGAGACTTCTTGACGAGGAAGCCAGTCTAACCTTATTTGAAGAACAACAATCGGCGTTTCTGGCATCTTCAAGTCAAAAGAGTGTATATCAAAATACTACGAAGAATTTTAAAATGAAAATAAACCGGATTTTCCAAAAGTGATTTGTTACAGGTGTCGGGAAAAAGGACATTTTGCGCGAAATTGTTCGAATCCAGTGAAAAATAATAATCCAAAATCGAAGGAAGATAATCAATCTGCTTTTTTTAGTGTAGGGATTTGAGAAACTGTATGTGCTTTACCAATTTCAAGTGACGATTACTGGTTAATGGATACTGGAGCATCTGTTCATATGACATATCGTAGAGAATTTTTCTCGACTTTTCAAGAAATGACAGAAGAATGCAAAGTTTCTCTTGCAAATCAGCAAGGATTACCAATTGAAGGTATTGGTACTGTCAAATTAAAGAAACTAATTAATGATGTGTGGTACGATTCGACAATTACAAACGTTCTGTATATTCCAATGCTTAAAAGAAATTTGCTCTCTGAGGAAGTTCTAACCTCAAAGGGACTGAAAGTTGTGAAAGAAAAGTCGTCTGTTTAAGTGTATGATAAAGACAAAAAGTGGCGTGCGCGGTTCGTGACTCCAGTAATCTCTATTTGATGTTGTTTCTTACGATTTTAAATGCTGAAGTGAACGTGGTTTCTTGGGCTGATTTGAAATTGTGGCATAAGCGTCTAGGACACATCACCGTGAATTCTTTGTGTGAGATGACAAGTAAAAATCTTGTTGAATGTGTTGACATAAGTGAGAAGAATAAATTCTTTTGTGAATGTTGTCAGTATGGTAAACAGCATAAGTTGCATTTTGACAGAAATAATCGTAGAAATACAGTCCCCGGTGAATATACTTATGTAGACTTATGTGGTCCTATGTCGGTTGATTCGGTAGGTGGTGCAAAATACTACATTTTCTTTAAAGATGACGCATCTTCTTACCTGTCAGTGAAGTTTATCAAAACACAAATCAGACAGTCTCGAGTGCTTCAAAGAATTCAAAGAAACTTGCTTCAACAAGTGTAAAAACAAGTTCGGATTTGCAATGAAAACATTGCGCTCAAATAATGGGACGGAATTTCGTAATAGTGAGTTTCGTGAATATCTAACCTCACAAGGTGTTGAAAATGAGAAAACCGCTCTCTATACACCTAAGCAAAATGCCAGATTGGAGAGAGAAAATAGAACAGTAGTAGAGTCAGCTCGCTCTATGCTCTACACAAAGGATCTGCCGAAGTACCTATGGGCAGAAGCGACGAACACCGCAGTTTATTTGTTAAACAGGACACAGACAACTCAAACTCCAAATTCTACGCCGTATGAGATATGGAATAAACGGAAACCTACATTAAGTCATGTTAAAGTGTTTGGAAGTGAAGCTTTTCTACTCATGCCAAAACAAAAGCATACTAAGCTTGAGCCAAAAGGAAAAAAGGTTATTCTTGTGGGGTATGAAAATAATTCGACGAACTATCGGTTATTTGATCTGAACTCAAGAAAAATCATAATCTCTCGACATGTGGTTTTTAAAGAAAATTCTGAATTGGAACTTCCGAGAAAAAATACAACTTCGATTTTTCTTGAAGACAACAACGCCTTGTCGGAGCAAATTCCTGACCCTCGAATAGAAGAAAACGACCTTCAAGAACTTGACGACGAAAAAGAGTTGTCGATAGAAGATATTCCTATCGAAAATGTTCACAACAGAGTCTTGCGTCTAGGTCATTCTCTACGCCCTCCCAAACGTTACGAGGTAAATCTCGTTGATTTAGATGTACCACAAACTTTCCAGGAAGCGATGTCCAGTCCTGATGTCAAAAACTGGAAATTAGCTATAGATGAGGAACTAAATGCTCTTAATAAAAATAATACGTGGGAGTTAGTCAATCTACCACCTGACAAGAAGAGTATTGGAAGTCGATGGTTATTTAAAGTCAAAAGGAAACCTGATGGATCAATCGAATGCTACAAGGCAAGAATAGTTGCGAAAGGATATTCGCAAGTGGAAGGAGAAGAATACACCAAGACTTATGCTCCAACTACAAGATTTGATACGATCCGTGTTTTTTTGGCTGTGGCTGTTAAAAGAAAAATGAAAATAATCCAATTTGATATAAAAACTGCTTTTCTTCATGGTGAACTGATGGAAGAAGTTTTCATGGATGTCCCGGACGGAGTCTCGAATTCAAGAAACTTATTTTGCAAATTAAAAAGGTCCTTGTATGGCTTAAAACAAGCGCCTCGCTGTTGGAACCGAAAGTTTCACAATTTTCTGCAAGAGTTAGGATTTAAACAATGTCAAGCTGACAAGTGTGTTTATGTTTGTAAGTGTCAGGGATTCAAAGTTATTCTCGTGTTTTATGTTGATGATGGTCTCATTTTAGGACAAGATAAAAAAGTTCTGTATGAAGTGGTCAAACAGTTGGAACGAAAGTTTAAAGTAATAACCTGTCGACCTGGTTTTTATCTCGGAATAGAAATCGATGGTGATCAAGACACTAGACGATCTACTACTGGTTACGTCTTCAAAATCTGCAGTGGTCCAATAACGTGGATCAGTCAACGTCAGAGATCAGTTTCTCTGTCTACCACTGAGGCAGAATACGTAGCTGCGTCAAGTGCGTCGAAGGAAATCGTGTGGAAATCGTTTCTGACTTCTATTTTCAGAAATTGGTAAAGTGTAGAATTGTGCAACAATTTTGTATATCGATAATAATCAAACTGCCATTAAGCTAATCAAAAATCCAGTTTTTCATAAACGTACAAAACATATCGACGTTTCCTATCATTTTGTAAGAGAAAAATAAGAATGTGGTGATATTAATGTTCAGTATATTCCCACATCGTCGTTTTTCATTGTCTATATGTTCAGTTGGTTGCTGTGTGCACTACTGTTTGTATCTACCTGTACCTTTTCTTTAATGTACAATAAATACACAATTTCATTGAAGAACCTCTTTTAATATAATAGAAGGGTCAAAATAAGTGAAACCGGACACTTGAAAAATTTTTATCTCCAATTTTCAAGTTATCTATGATTTTTGGTAGATATATGAGTACACTTTTTCCCCCTAAAATATTTTTCAAAAAAAAAATTATTTTTGAAGTAATCAGGTATTGAAGTTTTAGGTCGTTTTATTTTCATTTTATTATTACTTTAAAACAAATAAAGATAATCAAGTTAATTTTTTTTAAATTAAAGCTTAAAGTCTATACTTTAAAGATGAAATAAAGCGATTGCTAAAAAATGAAAATTTATAATTGTTATTAACAATTCTTTTAAACAATTGCAAATTGAAGAATGTTCTCAATGTTTTTGAAAGATTAAATTACGATATATTGATGCGCAAAACTATAAGGATTCATTTAAAAAAAGAAAAATCAGTAACCTCCAATATTATAGAAATTGTGTAGATTTTTCTGCCAAAATGCAGGCGAAAATTGACTCAAGTTCCTGGAAAAAGATAAAATTGCAAACGAATAAATAAGATCCTCTTTTGTTTTGTTAGAAACTTCACGCTTTCAAGCGGATTTTTAAGATTAAAAATCGATTTTCGCCTGCATTTTTGCAGAAAAATCTACACAATTTCTATAATATTGGAGGTTACTGATTTTTCTTTTTTTTAAATGAATCCTTATAGTTTTGCGCATCAATATATCGTAATTTAATTTTTCAAAAGCATTTAGAACGTTTAAAATTGTTTAAAAGAATTGTTAATAACAATTATAAATTTTCATTTTTTAGCAATCGCTTTATTTCATCTTTAAAGTATAGACTTTGAGCTTCAATTTAAAAAAAAATTACTTAATTATCTTTATTTGTTTCAAAGTAATAATAAAATGAAAATAAAATGACCCAAAACTTCAATACCTGATTACTTCAAAAATAAACTTTTTTTTTGAAAAATATTTTAGGGGAAAAAGTGTACTCATATATCTACCAAAAATCATAGATGACTTGAAGATTGGATACAAAAATTTTTCAAGTGGCCGGTTTCACTTATTTTGACCCAGAAGCATTTTAGAAGAATCTGGGGTAAAGTTTCGATCACCAATTTCAGGATTTCGTTACTTATCCCATCGATTCCAGCTGAAACAAGCTTTGCTTGTTTTCAATCTTTTGCCTGAATTTGTCAATTCTGTAAGAGTGAAGTGTTCCTCCTCACCGACTTTACAAGCACTCCAGTTTATCCTATGCCATGGTTTCGCAGGGGGAACAGAGCTTTTATTATTTGTCCGACCCAACGGCGTTGCGATGCTAGGATCTCTTTTTTAAGGCTTTTCTTGGCCTCCTTAAATACTTCCTTTAGCAAAGGATCTCCAAAACAGAATGTCGATACCTTTTTCCCTGGCCGTCTGCGTCAGAAGGGCCTGTGCCTCTCTTCACGTGTGCAGGTTGACCTGCAGAAGGTTTAAGGATATGCCTTTTTAAGCCTCTGCAACTACACTCTGTAAACCGGACAAGAACCTTTTAAGGCAACATGTCTGTCTTAGCCAAGTCGGAGCACGTCAAACACTTAGGTTGTTTGACAGAACAATTACTTACGATATGATCCTCACAGCCGCATCTCCGACAGCTTTTAGTTCTGTCGGGGCCCTTGCAGTTTTGTGTCACGTGTCCATAAACGAGACACTTTCGGCATCTTGCCACTTCTAAGTGTTTTTTAACTGCAGCATTTATCCAACCTATTTTTATTTTATCGACTTTTAGCAGAGAATCACTCTCTGCTTCAGTCAGGCGGCCCAACGCCACTTTTGTGCCACTAAAATGTGGACAAAGTCTGCACTCTATGTTTAGGTCAGACTTTTCCAGCATTGCCTCCACGGCAGAAACAACGTCTTCACTTGTCGTTGTTTCATCGAGTCCTTTTATCTCGAGAGTTCTTTAATTCACAAGAGGCATAACTTCGGCGTCGGTTTCGGTTTTTAAAACCGAAGCAAGAGCTCTTGCGAATTTCGAGATCCCTCGTCCTTTCTCCTAAACTATCAGGGCCTCCTGATTGAAGGTTCTCCTGATCTGAAGGATCTTGTTTTCAGTTGCTTCTGGTTTTACTACTGCAAACGCCTTTTTTAGGATTTCGTTGTAAGCCTTAGGGTCTTTCGCCGGAATCCTAATTGATTCCGTTGTCCTAAGCTTCAAAGGATGTTTTGAGAGCTCTTTTTTCTTACCTGGAGGCTTTTCTTTTTGAGACCTTTCTTTTCTTCTGCTGACTACTTTAAATTCGTCAGAATCTGCAGATGCATTCTTCGAGGCAACTGAAGCGTAAGTCTCCACTGAGGCTGTCTTTTCATTTCCCTTCGGAAGTATAGGGTTTTGCGATGGAGCTTCCTTGCACTTGACCCTCTTTTCCACTGGGGTTTCCTTCTGAAGACTTGCCTCCGGACTTCCGTTTTCTCTGGGGCGCTTTCTAGCATCAGTCGTATCGCTTAATTTCACAAACGCTTGAGATTTTTGCTTTCGCGTACCAGGATTTGGATTTGTCAGCTTGGAACTTTTAAAAGCATCAGGAATAAAACGAAGATTACTTCGAATTATATCAAACGCTATTCCGAGAGCAGCCGTTCTCTCTTACAAGCTTGGCGCATGTTTTCTAAAACCTTTGGTATAACTTCAAATTGTGCAGCAACGTTTGCTTCGAAGTTACTACACGCGTTATCGCTGCCAGTGTCTACATCCATTTGGCCGCCCCAAAATCCGTGGGGCCTGTGGCGGTGTTCGCAGAGACACCGTCGGGAGTGTTGTCCCTTTTCGGAGTTCCTCCTTAAGGTAATATATCTAAATTTTGACTCATGTTCATCATTTTTTGTTGGTTTTAAAATCAGGGAACCACCCAGTCAAAAAGAAAAAATACAACTATGCAACTATCGAACGTGAGTTCGATGATGCCAGGACAAAAAGATGTAAAATCAGTTAAAATAGATGAAGAAAAATACTGTGCTCGAGAAAGATTATTGTTAAGAAACTTGCAAAATATTTTTAAAAAATTTAAGATAGAAAACCCTACTGTGGAAATCGGTTTTGCAAAATTTTGTTCACTCCTACCAGATTATTGCGATCTGGACAGTTCAGGAGGAACACATCGAGTTTGTAAATGCCCAGTTCATGAAAATATGAAGCTTCTAGCATCATGTAAATCATAAAAACGAATGATGTTTTTTCTATAACACAAACATTTATTTTTTATTACAAAAATATTCAATGGCAAAATTTTTTGTTAGGTTTTATAGGCTTAAGAAATATTTTAATTTACTCATGTAAATTAAAATAGTTCTTAAGCTTCTTCTTTTTGAAGTCATACTGTAAATTTAATGAAGAATAGTACATTGTGCACCGAGGACACAACGTGCAAGTTTCTCGTCCAAGCTTGATTTTGCAGTACGAGGCAAAGCCGATTAGTGTAAACAAGCGAGGACGAGAAATGCGTGCGTCCGATGTACACACGACATTTTATACAAAACGAGAATGTAATACCCGGTTACTCGGTGCGCTTTTGAGAGGTAAAGCATGGCTTTGCTTCAAGCAGCAGTTTTACCGTCCTAGGACGAGAAAGTAGTCTTTAAAGGTACTTTCTCGTCCTTATAAGCAGAGTCTACAATGAGAGAAGGTGCGCATCGTTGTTTATAGCTATAGGTATACTAAAGCATGCTGTGGTATATCTATAGCTATGAACATCGATGCGCACCTTCTCTCATTGTAGACTCTGCTTTAGGACGGTAAAACTGCTGCCTGAAGTAAAGGCATACTTTGCCTTTACGCTGAGAAAGCGGGGATTACATGCTCGTCTTGTATAAAGAAAATTTACCAGTCGATCATTACGAGGATATTTTATTGAACTTGTGTACGAATCCTAGAGAAGAGTGTTTTTTAGGCAATGTAAAAATTGCTCCAAAAATGAAACATTATCCAAAATAATGAAGAAAAATAAGATAGGAAATATTAAACACAAACAGTGGGTATCGAATCCAAAAACAACATTGGAGACTACAACAATAGATTTAAAAGAATTTGTTGAAAAATTTTGCAAGTCAGGAAAAATATTCCTTCATCATTCTTACATTGTCGATCAACAAGCTTCTTTTTATAAAAGTGTCAAACAAAATCTAAAAGATGACGAGAGTTTAATTGTGTGTGATTTTGCTGAAAATTACGCATTCGTAATTCAAGATGCAGTTCCAAAATTCCACAGAAATAATAACCAAGCGACCATATTTCCTATCGTTTTTTATTATCGGGAAAATAATGTGATTAATCACAAAACGTTGGTTATTATTTCAGATTGCTTGAAACATGATGCTGTAGCAGTCTATGTTCTTCTGCAGGCCTTAAATGAAGTTTCTTCAGAAAAATATATTTGAATTCGGAAATGCATATACTTCTCCGATGGTGCACCGCAACAATTTAAAAATGTTAAACATTTCACTTATGTTTACCATTATAATCAAGATTTTAATCGTCCCGCAGTTTGGCATTTCCACGCAACAGCTCACGGGAAAGGGCCTTACGATGGAGCTAACGGTACTATAAAAAATATGGCTCGAAAATCTAGTTTGCTAATGACCTCGAACAAATAATGGGCTAAGAATGACTTGTCATAAAAAAACATTTCAGTCATATACAAAACTGTTAACGATTACGAAATAGCGAATAGTTTTCTTCAAGAGCGATTTTAAAATTGTAAAACTGTACAAGGGACTCAAAAAATTTACAGTGTCGAGCCGATAAGCAATTATCAATTAAAGATAAAAAAATATTCTTTATGTAAAAATTTCGAATTTTCAAGATTTTCTACTGCTGAACCGAAAAGCGTAAATGAACCCGAATTATTATTACTATTATTATCATTAAAACTACAATTATTATTATATTAATTGTTTTAAATATAATGAAGTAAAAGAAGCAATAACTCTCATTCAATAAAGTAACTTTTAAACCTTCAGTAAAATACCGCGTGCGAGCGACATGCACTAGGAGATTAATTATTTATTCAAACCCATTAAACTTATCAGGCCCACTCTGCATTTTTTTGCAAAACTTTCTTAAGGGTATGTCCAAGTTGTGAAATGTAAACAAACCAAAAGGTAAACAAACCAAACACAAAAATCGCACTTTTGTAACAGCCATTTCTCTTACAAAAATTAACATTTTTACACTTTCTCTACAAAAATGGAAAATTAGAGTTTCAAAGTGTCCAAAAAAATCAATTTTGGCTATGAGCAATAAAAAGCAATTAGTAAAATAACTAATTAAAATGACCAGTAAAATAGCATTTTTGAGGCGTCGCGAAAAATAAACTGCTTCAGTATATCAACCGCACTAAAGATGAAGAAGTCTCATGTCAGCGATTGGACCTTCAACATGTGGAAAAGGAAATTTTTTCCTTTCCTCCTTGAAATTACAAGAGAAAGGGTAAAAACTTCTTCATCGTCCGTGCGGTTGATATAGTCAAACACTTGAATTTTACGCGATCTGAGACTCTGTTGCTCTCTGCGCAAGCGCAGAGCGTACTAAGAATGCATTGACAGCATCATGTGGAAGTGCACATTTTCTTTTGAATGAAACTTAGTTGTTTTCTCATTTTTTTAGCTATGCAAGGCGTAGTTACCAAATAGAGTACGTCAGTTCACCATTTTCATAAAGAAAATGTGAATTTATATTTATGTACGAAAATGAGACCTCGTACAAAAATGCTTCTTTATTCGCTATTTTTAAGCATTTTTGTACGAGGTCTCATTTTCGTACATAAATATAAATTCACATTTTCTTTATGAAAATGGTGAACTGACGTACTCTATTTGGTAACTACGCCTTGCATAGCTGAAAAAAATGAAAAAACAACTAAGTTTTATTCAAAAGAAAATGTGCACTTCCACATGGTGCTGTCAATGCATTCTTAGTACGCTCTGCGCTTGCGCAGAGAGCAACAGAGTCTCAGATCGCGTGAAAGTCAAGTGTTTGACTATATCAACCGCACGGATGATGAAGAAGTTTTTACCCTTCCTCTTGTAATTTCAAGGAGGAAAGGGAAAAATTTCCCTTTCCACATGTTGAAGGTCCAATCGCTGACATGAGACTTCTTCATCGTCAGTGCGGTTGATATACTCAAACAGTTTTATTTTCGCGACGCGTCAAAAATGCCATTTTACAGGTCACTTTAATTAGTTATTTTACTAATTGCTTTTTATAGCTCATAGCCAAAAATGATTTTTTTGGACACTTTGAAACTCTAATTTTCCATTTTTGTAGAGAAAGTGTAAAAATGTTAATTTTTGTAAGAGAAACGTCTGTTACAAAAGTGCGATTTTTGTGTTTGCTTTGTTTACCTTTTGGTTTGTTTACATTTCACACCTTGGACTTACCCTTAACATTTTCAGGTATGTTTGAAAAATAATTTATCATACCCAAAATTAAAAAATTTTAATTTTTTTATAAGTTTTTTATATTTTTTTAATAGAAAATGAAAAAAAATTTGTTATTATTTAAAAGTAGAGAGAAAAACTAAACTTTTTTTTTTCTTATCAAAAAATGAAAAAAGCAATATTTTTTTAGTTATCTGACATTGAAAATATATCTACATTTAAGAAACGAAAATTTTAAAAATTCATAACTTAAAAATTTGTCCTAAAAAAAATACGTATCTGTTTTTTTCAATACAGAATAGAAAAAAAATATTTTTGGACGATTTTAAGAGGTCGACTGAAATCTCACATGGAATTGCCCAAATACATATATATCTTAAAGGATTATCTTGAAAATACAATAAGTGGATGTTTTTACGAACAAGAACTTTCTAAACTTAAATATCCAGATATTTATTTAGTTGAAAAAAGATTAAAAAACGAGGATCTAATGTATTTGTAAAATGGTTGGGTTTTGATAATTCTCATAACAGTTGGATAAACGAATCTGAATTATAATGTATTGAGAAAGGTTTAAAATAAAAATAAATTTAATTGTATACATTTTTTGTATTGATTTATCCTCTTTTTTACAATGAATGACCATTTAAAAATTGAATATTTGACAGTAGGTGAATAGCTTTGTTTGATATTTGTTTGCAGAGAAATGTGACAAGTTCCATCAATAATGCCTCTAAATTTAAAACATTAGTTCTTCCCATCACTTTTTTAAGTATTATGCTGTAATATTTTTTAATTAAATCCGTGGCTTGTTTCGTAGACTTTATATTATTTTTAAATATTACTGCATCACACAAAAGGTGCCATTCTTGAATCTCAAAAGGCAATAATACTCGTGGATAGCTGTTTCATAGATAAATGTTTGGTACTCCACATGGTAAATACGACAGTTTTTGGTCAACTACTGGTCAACTCCTTAAAGAAAAAACTCTATCTGATTGTAAGGTCCTCCACGATTTCTTAGATATGCACCACCACTGACAGCTTCTGCCTTTAGACTGTTGAAAAGATTTGCATCCCCTTAAAATATTTTCAGCATTCTTGGTGGTAGAAAAATGTTAAATTCATTATTTATTTCAGCAACAATTTTCGGACCAAATTTCGTATCAATTTTTCGAATGTCTGTTTAATTTATCGAAATTCATTTTTTATCACGTAAATTTAAATTTACAATGTTTTTTACTACAATAATTAACTGTGCTGCTGATATGTTCATTAACCAATTTAAACTGCAAGAATGACGATGTATAAAAAACTGCTCTCCTTATTTACACAAGATATGACCTATTTGACCTTCAAGTTAATTATAGATTTCGTAGAATTGCGGTAAGAACAAAAGCATTCTTTTAAAAAGTACGGAAAATGTTTTTAAAAATTCCTTAGATAAGAATAATAAACAATGATTTATTAAATCACCCACCATCAAACACTTGCGATTAGCTCGGGACAGAACGAAAATGCAAATAGAAGAGGTACTGGAGTTAAAAAATCAAATAGCTGTACGATAACAGGACAGGGAAGACGATTTGAAAATCGTATACCGCTCTGGGAATCCAGTTTTAATAAAGAAGAATCGCATGAAGAAGACGTCATTGTCCATACAAACGAACTCTTATTAGATAGTCTAATAACAAGTGAGGTGTCAAAATTTTCTTATAATATTAATAGCCTTTCAGTACACAGCGAACCAAACAAACCACTCTTAATATGTACTACCAAAATGTTCTAGGATTACGAACTAAAATTCACCATTTATGACAAAACATTTTTCTTTTAATTTTCTTATTTTTCTGAAACCTGGTTGCATCCAGGTATAAGTTCACTCGAATTAGGTTTTCAAAATTATAAAATTTTTCGGTTCGACAGATGCAATTCAACTAGTCAGAGTTTGCGTGGCGGTGGTGTTTTCATAGCAGCCAAAAGTAACTTAAATTGTTCCTTAATTTCTATCAATTTTTCTTCTGTTGAGCATATCTTTATAAAATTTACAATTAATGCAAATTCTTATATCTTAGGTTGTTTTTACATTCCGCCGAACTTTACAACCGATACCTATATCGATATGTATAGAATTATTGAACATATTGTGGACTTCTATCCTAATGCTTCGCTCGTGCTTCAAAAGTCGGGGCAGGCGTATGTTGAATGTAAGAGAGAGACAGAGAAAAAACCAGAGCTTCACAGGCGTCCGCTAGAGGGGTTGAAGCGGGGAGCAAAAGTGGCGAAAGTAAATAAATATGGCCATCTGTCAAATTAATCACGATTGCAATTTTCTTAAAAAATAAATTAACGGCCGTACTTTTAACCGTATATAAAGAAAAATAGTATACATTACACGGACAGAAATTTCGAAGCCCTTCACATCATTTCTCACAGTGCCGGAATTCGAACTTTCTGACCTTATAATGTAATATACTACCTATCTATTTTTTTGGGAATTTCTTACCCTGATTTTGACTCTTGGCAAAATTTGGAAAAGTTTATGGAAAAAATTGTTACTTTTACAGACTATTTCTTGTAATCTAAGCTTTAAATAGAGACCAAGAACAGCAAAAAATATTAACGGGTTCTCCAGATATTACAAAAAGAGTCGGACCGTGCAAAGCAAAATTTTCAATCACCGATTTCTCTAATTCGCCGTTGAGTCAATTGCGTGTCTGTAAGGAAAGTGTCGAAAATGAATTTTATCAAGTACATACTTACTGGGATCCACTTTTAAAATATTATCATTATATAATAAATTAAATTATAAAGTGAATCTCAGTAAGAATGTACATTGTAAAATTCATTTTCGACACTTTTTTCACAGCCACGCAACTTACTCAACGGCGAATTAGAGAAATCGATGATTGAAAATTTTGCTTCGCACGGTCCGAATCTTTTTGTAATATCTCGGGAAATTTAATAAGCTTTCCGATGCAATTTAAAAAAAGCATCTAGCTTTATTTTTGACGGAATTATCACTGTTTCTGTGCGGGTGTGTTTTTTAATAGCTCGAAGTGTTAGCGGTCGCACAATTTTCGCCTGTAGTGTGGCGCATCATTCCAGCTGAAGCACAATGTATCCAGTAACTGATTATTTTTAAATTTGCTTGAAATTTAGTAATTATGTGTTTCTGGGGTCACTCATTACGAATGTAATGTTAGATTTTCAAAATTTCAAAATCAGCGACCCTGAAAATCCCCGAGTAACGATTTTTAAGTAATTTAGATTAATTCTTAACATTGACGTCCGTCATATTGGATCCGCCATTTTGAAAAACTGAGTAACGAGTTTCAAGTGAATCCAATTAAATTTTAAGTTTTATCCGCTTTTGCCTACCTCCTGCCCCACTGTGCGGTGCAGGGATCTTGGTCCAGAACCCTCCATATATATCTACTTTATTTACAATTTATTTAATATTTTAAATTTTAATAATATTCAGTTTATAACTGAAACGAAACTATTTTATATCCCAATTCATATACTCAATTAGCTTTATTTTGATTAGGATCGAATTGTCGTGTCATTTAGTTTTTAATTTAATTAATTGCGCGAAATTCAAAATTAAGAAAAATTTAATCAATAATATATTATTAACGGTCAGGAAAGTTATAGAAAATTCAGGTAATGTCAGAAAATTCCATTCAAAGTCAGGAATATTTTTATAAATTTAGACTAAACGTAAAAGTTTTTGTAACTTTAAAAACTTATTTATTCACAAAACACATACCATAGAACTTTTTTTTCCAAAGAACTTTTCCAACTGGGATCTTTTATGGGTACTTTTAGTGATGAGAATTTAAAAAAAAAGCAATTGAAAATTTTAAATATTTAAAAAATATGAATATTTAATGAAAATTTTGTATAAATTTTTGATGGAGTAAAGTATGCATAGCAGTTGAAGAGGTAGACGTAAAAGTGATGATAACAGGCAGAGCACGTATTGTCTTTTCATTTCTGTCGCTCAATAAAATAATGAGAAAATGACTAAATTCAATTTCTCTGCTACTTTTTTTCACTTGTCTGCTTTCTCGACTCTCGCTTACAAGAAAATTCACCAGGGCCTCTCTCTCTCTCTTTTTTTTCTCTCTTAGTCTCTCTCGCTTTCTGCTTTTATATATTCCGAGAAAACGTGAATAGCGTGCAGGAATAGAACACAGCAAAGTTCTTTCTCTCTCTTTCTTTCCCATTCACATGACAAGACTTTAAACAACTTCAGGCTCACCCAAATTCCTTCATGTTCGAATAGAGCCATCTATTCTTCTTTTTTTTCTTTATCGAAATTCCATATTTATCCTCCACATACTTAACGTCCACTAAAGTTTTTTGATAAACGTCTAGTTACCTTCCTTTCTTCATTGTTCATTTTTTATTATACAGTTTGCGATAGTGGTTTAGATGGATTTTCTAATTTATGTGACATTAAGAAGAAAATTTATAGTTATTTCGATAAAAATATGTGACTTGAATTTTATTAAAAATATTGTAATTTTGGTGAAATATTTTCTATTACATATCGCGATTTTACGAGTGATTGAATTTTTAAAGATTTTTGATTTTTCTTTTCTTTTGATTCTTAAGACTGTTTATATGTGTTTTTTATAAGTCAGTAAAGTTCATAATGTTTGAAAGAGAAGAAAACATTTTCCACGCGATAACAGTAGAATTTTTTGTTTTCATATATTTTAGTTTTAAATTATTGATGGAAACTGTGAAATACTTTTTAAACAGAAATTTCACGATGAAGAAAATTTTATTTAAATCAAATAATTCGAGTTAAATGAATGTGTATTTGTCACACAGCCTACTAAATTATTTATTTGTTTTAAATAACAATTTTATTTTACACAAATAACATTTTTATTTGAAAAAAATTTAATTAGAACAAAAAGATTGTTTTTCTTGTTTCGAACTTTTAAATGAATGAAATACTTTTTTGTATCTCAATATTTTAAAAAATTACTAAATTAAAGTGAAAAATATTGTAATTTGTAACGATTATAATGATGTATAAGTGATGGCTCGTGAAAGATCGAATAAGTTCGGCGAAGAAGGAAAATGTGAGGACTGTAATGACGAGGCGAGAAATTGTTTAGTGATCTGTGGGCCGTGAAAAGTGTTACATGTTCGCGGGGTAAGGAAAAGTTCCAAGTAAAGTAATAAAGTAAAATGTAAAAATATAAATAATAATGTAAATTTCTTTTAGTTTCTGTATCGAGGCGATAATTATAACGCACATTAGCTGAAGGTTGAGCCGAAAATTGTATGATTACTAATTGCAAATTGTGACGCCATATTTTTTTTGGAAATCTCCCGAAGCGTGAAGGCAATACGACAAGGCATCTGCAACCGTAGCAGTGTATACGAGTTTGAATACTACTCATCGTTACTGCGATACAGAGCACATTTTCATCTAAATCGTTTAGGCGAATAAGATAAGTCCAAGACCACTAATTTATTTTATTTAAAACTTATAACGTTTTCAAGTCATTGTACTGTATTAAGAATATATTCTATGTTTCGTATAAATGGTTGAATGCGTGAATGAGTATATGTATATATTTCGGTGTAGCAAAGTAAAATTATATCAGCGTGTTATAACAAAATATATTTGATTTATGTGGAGTGGATCGAATATATTTGAATTAAAAAGGAAAATAAATATTTGTATTACATAAAATTATATATTTTTTTCATAAAAGACGACGAACCTTAAATTGAATTAGAAGAATAATAATAGTTAAAGAGTATTTTTTACATTGGCGCACAACTAGAGGCTAAGTGAAAGAATTGAATATTGTATAAATTTGAATTTAAGCAAATAAGTTTTATATTGAAATCTCAATTTTAAAATAAGTTTTCAGGAAACTATATATGTTATTTTGTTTGTAGTGTGGAAAGATCATCGTAGCTTTGGCATTGTTCATTGATAAACAATGTCGACTAGAAATCAAAAGAAGTTAGAGGAAAATGAAAATAATAATCAGATCTTGGCTCAACAGCAGCAGCAGATTGATGAACTAAAGAATGAAATTAAGAGACTTCGAGTGGAGACACAGGCATCAAGTCAGGAAAATGATATTTTGCGGCGGGAGGTAGTCAGAATGGACGAATTGGTGAAACAGGCACATCAGAACGCGAGTAATCACACAAAGGTTTCGTGTCGTGACGTATGTATACAGAGTGAAGTACATGTAGTTAATACTATGAATGACGCAGATATACACAGAGACCAAGCTAGTGGGGAGACATTAAATAAAGGTGACTCAGTATCACAGGTTGTTTTAGATAGTCGTTATGGAAATACGATAAATAATAAAGATGGTCCTCAAAATGATTTTACTAGCGAATTAATTTCTGGAATTTTTAATCAGTTTCAACAATTGCAAATTAATATTCCTTTGCCGGTTTTTGATCTTAAATGCACTAATCCCGTGGAATTTATAAGAAATTTAGAAAAATACTTTGTAAGAAAGGAAATTATGGACTCAAAAAAATTGTTAGTTGTTGAAGATGCTCTTAGAGGATCAGCCAGGGTTTGGTTCGATACAGTCTTGAATCCCTTCCGCCATTTTAATGAGTTTAAGGATAAGTTTTTTAATAAATATTTATATAATACGTGCATATAAAGTGTCGTTTACGACGCATGGAAAAAGTGCCGTAAATCGCGTATTATAGCATCCGATGTTATAAATAAGCGATAATGGCCAGGGCGCATGCGCAATTAATGCTAGTTACTTTATATCACACTTTTATAACAGGATAGTTACATTATGACACACTTGTTAGAACTTTTATAACACACTAGTGACATTATACTACACTATTTGACTCATGTATTTTACACATTGCTTCCGACGCGCCATCTGCCGAGAGGAATCTATTTCTCAAACTGTTCTGCAGATTAGGTTTCTTGTCTATGTTTATTGTCTATGTTGTCTTCTAGAGATTGAACAGATATCCGTGTATCATTTTTATAGTATATATATAATCGCAAGTGCAGTAAAAAAAAGTCTTTTAAAAAGATGAATCAAATAAATGTATCTAAAGCGACGTGTGACAAAGAAACTACAGCTGAGCATATACTCGAAGCATCCAGACGCGTAACGAGAAATCTGCTTCCCGACAAATGAGCTGATCATTACAGAGCCGTATACGATCAATTCGTTGAATGGCAGCAGCGAGAAAACACGAATTCTTTTTCAGAAGACACACTTCTCGTTTATTTCGACAATTTAAATGAAAAGTACGCGCCTACGAGTCTTTGGGCAAAATATTCAATGTTGAAAAAAACGATTTTGAATTTTCATAACCTGGATATTGGACAGTACAAGCAATTGTCTGCTTTTTTTACAAAAAATGGAAAAGGTTTTAAAAGCAAGAAGACGAACGTTTTAGAACCGGAACAAGTTGAAAAGTTTTTGAACTAGGCACCCGATAACCAGTATTTAGCCATAAAGGTATTTTTTACAAATCATATTTTACAATTTAAATAAACATATCCTATAAATCACAGCTGACAGTATTTAGAAATAAATAAAATAGAAATAAAGTTGTTTAAATTGAAATAAGAATAAATGAAAGTTAACAATAAAATAAATAATAAAATAAATAATAAAATAAATAATAAAATAAATAGTAAAATAAATAGTAAAATAAATAGTAAAATAAATAATAAAATAAATAATAAAATAAATAATAAAATAAATAATAAAATAAATAGTAAAATAAATAGTAAAATAAATAATAAAAAAAATAATAAATAAAATAACATAATATATTAATTGTAGGTAGCACTCATTCTTGGAATTTGTGGAGCGTGTAGGAGAGAAGAGCTGAAAAACGTGTCTATTAATGACATTAAGAATAAGGATGACTTTGCTCTGATTACGATTCCCGAAACTAAAAATGATCTTCCAAGGAAATTTATCATAGATGGTGAATTCTATAAAATGTTTAAAAAGTACGAAGCCCTCCGACCAAAAGATGTTCAATGTGATCGTTTTTTTATCTTTGCGTGATGGGAAATGCACGAAACAACCAATGGGTATTAATTTTTTTGGATCTATGCCTAAAAAGATAGCCGAATATTTAAAATTGGAAAACCCGGAATCCTACACTGGGCACACATTTCGTCGTACTTCGGCGACGATTTTGGCGGATAAAGGAGGAGATCTTATGACCTTGAAGCGACTTGGCGGATGGAAGTCGGATAAGGTTGCCATGAGCTACGTCAACGATTCAGTTTATAATAAAAAAAAAATGTGTGCCCAGATTAGCAGCGCCGTGAATATAAACCAATCAAAAGAAAATGAAAATACTGGCCCATCCATGTCGCGAATTTCTGATACTGTTGAAAACAAGGAAAATTCATCGGATTTAACAAAATTATTAAACAACGAAAAATTTTCTCTAAATTTAAATAATTGTCAAGTCACATTTAATTTTGCTGTTATATGCTAAGCAATAACGTAATTAAAGTAAAGCTATATGTACGTAAAATTTCCAAAAACTAAGCTATTAATATTTAAATAATAATATTGTGATTTAACGCATTCTTAGAAAAAATTAAAATGTAAAGTAAATTTAATACAACGTACTATAACTGTTATAAAAGTAAAATTACTTTATCTGAATGTATAAAATACTTGTTCTTTTATAAATAAATGTTTTATATCTAAGATTTACTATTTGTTTTAATGGAATTTTTTATAGAAACAGCATTTTGAATTTAGAATTTCCTATGACACCTTATGCTATTACATGTATGTATTACAATTGATTTCTATTTCTTATTAAATAATACAGTATTTTTTATTTTAACATATATACGCCATTTTGTTGCGGGGGGTTTCGCCCCCCTAAGCGTCCTGTGGCTTGGGGCTTCATAACATGTCCTTCTTGAAAATCTTAGTTAATTTAATTATTATTTTGAGTTTGGTTTTTTTGTGGTCGGAGAGCTTCGCCCCCCGAACCCCCCGACCGGGGCGCTGCCCCTGGATCCCGTCGGGGGGAGACCCCCCGAACCCCCCCGCGCGACAAAACGTTTTAGTACGTTTGAATGTATATCGGTTCGGATCGTCTGTGACAAAGTGTCTCCCCCCTCTCAGATAACCTCTAAACCACACTTTTTGCTCAGTTTTTATAAAAACTATGCACTTATTATATAAAGTAGTGTATGATACTCGTTCTCGAAAGCGGAGTTTATAGAAAAGCGACGTTATTGCCTCAACGAGTTCGTGATATATTATCAACAGTTGATTTTGCGGATAGCGATAGAATTTCCCAGGCGTTGGCGCGACTTGACCTATCCTCAAGTTTTGTAGGTGGAATAAATGCAGGTAATCGTCAAATAACGCAGAATAACGGTACGGATAATTTGGTAAAGTCTAGGGTAGATGAAAAAAATTCGCGAGGTTATGAATGAAAATCATATAGAGAAAAATATCAGAACCAATATAAGGAAAATAATAAAAGTGAAAATTGGCGAGATCGACAGGGACAGACTAGGCAAAATAGACCAGAACAAACAAAGAGATATGAACAACGAAATAGACAGGAACAAAATAGCTGGTATGATAGACAGAATAAGCAAGTGAGAACGACGCGCATGTGTGAGGATAATGAAATTATAGAAGAAGTTGATGGCGATTCATGGGATCAGGACAATGAGTTAGAATCTGGGGATAATGAAAATCGAACCGAAATCAATGAGTTGCATAAAGAGAAAAATTGGGAGTACGAACGAAATGGTAGGAAAAATATACGCACCATCCAAACAATAAACAAGTTGTTCATTTCATGACCATTTAGCTTCCTCAACATATAAAATATAAATTCGTGACGTAATTCACTTACAAAATTCTAGCAAACTCCATCTAAACATATGTATAAAATTAATTTTATCCCATAAAATCGGGAACATACACACACATTCATACAAACATTTATCAATTTTGTTTAAAAATAAAAAATTTATATTAATTTATTTTTATAACAATGTTTTTTTATGTTTAAAACTTTATTCTAATTTTAATCAAACATTATCATAAATAAATGATTTATAGATTCTAGTAATTTTTTCTTGTAAAAAACCTTTGTTATATCAAAAAATTTTTAAATTAAAAATTCGTTTTTAAAAAATTTTTTTAAAAAATTTAACAATGACAAGTCGATTTTAGAGGTCATTAAAATATTAAATTTATGTTTATTTCAATTTTTTTTTTTAAATGAAAAAAATAATATAATAAATAATATAAAAAATATAAAAAAATTATAAAATAATATAATATAATAAGAATAATATAATTTTAATATTTATTATCAATATTTTTTATTATTTGAAGTAATTTTACAAATAATAATTATATTATAATCATATTATGATAATTTTTTACAATATAATTATAAAAAATAAATTATCATTAACGTGAATTGTTCATTTTAGGTACAAATCTCCATGAAAACCAAATTATGATTTTTCAAAAGCATAACAATCAAAGCATACATTCTTCTTAAGGAAATTTCTTTTTAATGCAGCAAGATATATTCATAAATTAAATGTAATTATATTGCGGTTTGCAAACTTTTGCAATTCGAAATGATTCGAATTTTCTGTTGTCGAGTCGATTAATGTTCGGTTCGATTAAATACACACCTCTATTTCATATGCAAATTGCTTCTTTTTTTATGATAGAATAATCATTTAAAAATATTAATATTAAATAAATTATGAAAAAATACAAAATTTGAATTTTTTGTGAAAAAGAAAAATTTCTATTAATTTTATAAATTTTGATAAAAAATATACTTTGTATACATCAATCGATTCGTTTTCTTGTCAGAAATGTAATTTTGAGAATAATTAATTAAAATATTAACAGATAAAAAAATTATTTACAAAAATACAAAAAATTTTTTTTTTTGAATTTTAAAAAAATTGTATAAAATTTTTTTTTAGATATTTTTGAAAATCCTTGTGTCAGATTTTAGGTATTAATGACTGCAATAAACCTGCAAAATTTCAAGACAATCCATCAAAATTTGTTTGAGATAATTTGTACACAATTTTTGTGACATATACACACACACATACACACATACACACACACATACATCTGGACATTTGCTCAGAATTGAATATACATTTTATAGATGAAAATGAGTCCATATAACCTTTTTTTGAAAAATTGAAAATCGTCACGAATGCAAAGCTTCCTTATGAGGAAGCAAAATGAGTGAATTTGCAGAGGAATTGGTATGGGATGTGCAAGAAGGTGTAGAATGCGAGCATAAGTATAACAATACTCGGGTGGTTTGCCCACAGATTTTGGTTAGGGTTGGTGACATGGATCATGCCATGCTCATAGATTCAGGGAGTGAAGTCACATGTGTGTCAGAAGTTTTTTACAAAGAGCTCCAGAAAGATAATAGAATACTGGAATTACCGGTCACAAGTGTGTCTGTATTTGGTGCTGTAGGAAATAAGCCAGTAGTTTTTAAAAAACAAATACAGTTATGCATTAGTGTGGGAAATTTGGAGGTCATGTTTTCGTTTTTGGTAATACCTGGTCTTTCGAAAAAATTGATAGCTGGGGTGGACTTGCAGTCTCGTTTGGGAATGGTAATTGATTTTAAGAACAAGCAAATTAAGGTGGAAGATTATACTGTACCGAAGGAAAGAATGTTACTTTTTGCGTCGAATGGCATAAACACAATAAGATTTTGCAATCTGATACGTTTAAAGAGGGATTTGTGGTATGAATGTATTGACATTGAAAGTGAGGAGGGAATGAAATAGTTGAAGAGAGAGAATGATAATATGGTGACAGATGAGTGCTTATATCTGAGACATCAGGAGAAAGCAGCTGGAATTCGGAAAATTCAGAATGAAGAATTTTCGGAATGCAATGTTTTTGAAAATGAAGTCGACAAGTATGTTGAGGATATAAATACAATTAGTGTGGAACAGAGAAAAGTGGTTAAACGCCTTTTGATGGATAATCGTGAGGTTTTTTCAAATAATCCGGGATGTACCTCCGTTTACAGTCATGTTACTAAACCAATCAGGGAGCATATTCAGGTGCGAAAATCATATTCGCCCCCTTTAACTATACGACAGGACGCGGATAAGGAAATTATAAGGATGAAAGGGTTAAATATTATTAAGCGTTCTAACAGTAATATTTGTAATCCTTTACGGTGTGTAAAAAAGAAGGATGGGTCGATACGATTATGCATAGATGCGCGATAAATAAATAAAAACATCGAGTCAGACAATGACAGTACGGAAAAATTAGAAGATATTTTGCAGGATGTTGAGGGCGCTCGATTTATGTCAACAACCGATTTTGTTATGGGATATTGGCAGGTGCCATTATCGCCGGAGTCAAGAAAATATACGGCGTTCCTTCATAATGGAAAATGTTATGAATTTACTCGAATCCCGTTTGGGCTGAAAACTGCTGAAGCAGGTTTTATCCGCGCGGTTAGTTTGGAATTAGGGCCGGAGCTTGCAGCTAAAGTCAAAAGTTACGTCAATGATTTTTTTTGGCGTCAAAATCATTCATGGAACACGTAGATTTATTAGATAAATTTTTTAAAAAATAAATAAGTGTCGGATTTACCTTGAGTCTTCATAAGTCGAAATTTTTCTGTGAATCGGTTAAGTTTTTGGGGATCGTGATTGATCAGGATGGAATAAGGGCGGATCCGGAGAAGTTGGAAATCATAAGAGATTTTAAGCGGCCCAGAGATCAAAAACAATTACAGGGATTCCTTGGGGTTTGTGGCTTTTCCAGGAGATTTGTTTGTGGTTACTCAAATTACATAGGTTTACAAATTAAAAACTTTTTTTGCCAATCGAACAAAACAATTTTTTTTCGAATAGTAGGTGTTTTTTGAGTAAGAAAATCATGGCGGACAAGTTTTTAAAAATCGATTAAATTCGTCTTAAATTCTCGTTACTCGGGGGTTTTCGGGGTCGCTGATTACGAATCTGATGTCGGATTTCGAAAATTGAAAAGGATGGATTCATAATGGTGAACGAGTTTTTTAAAATCCATCGAATTCGCACCTATTAGATCCGCCATTTTTAATTTTTGAAATCTGACATCAGATTCGTAATCAGCGACCCCCGAAAACCCCCGAGTGACGAATTTAAGACGAATTTAATCGATTTTTAAAAACTTGTCCGCCATATTGGATCCGCCATTTTGAAATTTAGAAAACTAACATTGGATTCGAAATCTACGATTTCAGAAATCCTTTATTAGTGATTTTAGTAACTTTAGAGCTTAACTAAATTTTATTACTTCAATTTTTGCTGCAAATGTTTAAGGGATACTAAAAATGAAGAATGTAGTTTTGTTCACTAAATTTAGTGTAGAATTGTCATTTTTAATCCAATCGAGTTCCACAAGGGCTCAAAATTTGTGTAATGATATAGTCTATCAATAAAAAAATTAAAACCTAAACATTCTTTCCTGTTTGATGTAGAAAAAAATAGTAGAAGTTACTCAAATGTCTAAAAATCATCAAAATTGTCATGAAATTTCATCTTTAATCGACTGTAACTCTCTCAATTTTTGTTAAATTTTATTCTGTGACCTATGGATCGAAAGGTAATTTAATAACCTTTCCAATGATACCTCATTTATTATATTTTGACAAGCTAATTTTCCTACAGGTAAGTTTAAGTGGCGTCGCACCTCGAAAATGCAAAATTTGAAGCTACAGAAAAACTGCACGAGGGAAAAAAATTAAAACTATGATTTTCTTACTCAAAAAACACCTACTATTCGAAAAAAATTGTTTTGTTCGATTGACAATTTCACTGTAAACCAGTGTTATATAGTCCCATTTCGAGACTTATTAAGCTCAAAAAAGGAGTGGAAATGGACTAATGATCATGATATTGCATTCCGGCGACTTAAGGAAAATTTTCTTGATGCGGTAACTTTACATCACATAACACCAGGAGGCAAGTATCGACTTCAGACAGATGCAAGTTACGCGAAGATTAGTGGTGTATTGTATCAGCTGGACTCGGCAGGTGAACAAAGGATTGTGTCAATCACGAGTAGGGTGTTGACCCAATATGAGTCTCGGTATACAGTAACAGACAAGGAACTATTGGCAGTGATTTTTTTTTATGAAGTTTAGGAGATACTTGTTTGGGGTGGAGTTTAAGATCGTGACGGATCACAGGGCGTTACTGTTCTTTTTGAAAACGCCATATCATAGCGCTAGATTAACGAGATGGGTGCTGTTTATGCAGGAATACAATTACACGATTAAACACTGCAAAGGATCAGAAAATATCGTGACTGATTTTTTTAGCAGGAATTTTGATGGTAAAACGTATCGAATCAGATCTAGTAAATGGTGGGCAGTCAATATCTAAAATAATAGCTCAATTGAAAATGAGGGAGGAATTATTGGACGAAATGACTAATTTAGCGGAATTGCAGCGTGAGGATGAGATGATAAAAAAGTTACGTGAGAAAGAGTCAATGAACTTTGAGATTTGTGAGGAGTATGGTATGGTAGGTCTAGGATGGATAATAAGGGTGCATGGAAGTTGTTAAATTCGAGATGTTTGATTGTAACGTTGTTGTCATCTATTCACGAGCAATTAGGCCATGCTGGGAGCGGAAAAATGATTAGGTACATACAGCGTTTCTTTTTTTGGAAGTATTCGCGTAGGGATGTCAAGGAACATGCGCGAAGTTGTGATACATGTCAGAGGACAAAATATTTGAATTACTGAATGGAGGGATCATATGAATTTCTTGGTTCAAAGGAACCAAATGAATTAGTGGCGGTTGATTTTTTTGGCCCGTTGCCACAATCGGCATCAGGGGTTGAATATATTTTTGTTGTGCAGGATCTTTTCTCGAAAATGGTAGCATTGTATCCTATAAAAAGGGCCACAACGAAAATATGTTTAGAAAAAATGAGGGATGTGTATTTTAAGGAGGTAGGAAAACCTCGCAGAATACTATCGGATAATGGGACCCAATTTTCATCCCCAGTTTGGAGAACCATGTTGGAATTATGGGGTATTTCGGTTTCTTTCTCATCGGTACCACATCCGCAGTCCAATCCGGTCGAGAGAACCATGAGAGAGTTGGGTAGAATATTTAGGACGTATTGCTCTGAGAAACATACCGCATGGGCAAGGCATATTCCCTTCGTTCAAAAAATCTTAAATTATAATGTTCATGATAGCACAAGGGCAGTTCTATACGAGCTCCATGTTGGGAGGGTAATTGATGAAAAAATTTATGAAATGTTCCCAAAATTAAAGCGATCCTCGGAAGACAGAAAATACCAGATTGAAATAGCCAATGAAAGACTGCGTAAGGCGTTCGAACAGAGAAGTAAAAAACAGGTACACAAGAACAAAGTGGAGTTAGAGATAGGAGATTTGGTCCTGGTAAGGGTTCCGCATTTGTCAAATGCAAATAATAGACAGATATACAAATTTTTTCATCTTTATGAAGGGCCTTTTAGAATAAATAAAAAAATGGGAAATAATGCCTTTGAGTTGGTTTCTGTGTCTGGGTCTGCGTCAAGAAAGGGTATTTTTAATAGATTTCATTTGAGAAAGTAACACACGCCTTCTGATGTTCCTGATTGAACAAAGTTTTTATGTATATAACGAGAGTTGACGTGATGCCTGGGATGTTTTTCCTTTTTTATTTGCCCATTTAAAAAAAAGGAGAACGGAGGGAAGGAGAGTCCTTATTGATGTGCTCATGTTAATGAGTTCAAATATAAGAAAAGAGTAAATGGTATTTTTTTATGTATATAAAATAATTTTATTGTATTATATGGGTGATTTTCACGTAACTGTGCAATTTCAAAATCAGTTTTAAAAGAAAAAAAATTTTGTTTTTTTAATGTTAAACATCACTTTTCCTCATCATTAGGGCATAATATAGTAATTATGTAATTACTATATAATATACTATATGTAATATACTATATGTATATTATATTATAGTTATATTATATAACTATAATAATAATAATAATATATAATATAATAATAATATTATATTATATATATTATATTATATTATAGTATATTACTATATGTAATATACTATATGTAATATACTATTATAATATTATGTAATTTAAACGGTTTTACTACAGCTATGATTATAAAAAAATTATAACAAATTTTCGAAAATTGGCTGACACGGAGCTGACCACCCTATGCATTGAATCATACTGCTCAACTGGGGCTATTTTATGTACGCGAGGTATTTAATAAATAAAATTATTAAAAAGAACCTCTTTGTCAAAAAACCATAAATAAGTTAATTAAAATCCTTAAAACTTCAACCGGTGAGCAACATAACGGCAAAAAATTAACTTTAATTAATATTTATAAGCTTTTCAAATTAGTTTTAAAACTATATCTCGTTTCTCTAATAACTTGAAAAGTGTATTAGATATTAAATTGTTATTCATTTAACCTTAAAATATTAATTTCAAGTTTTTGAAAAATATAATATTCAAAACGTTTAAAAAAGCTCCTATTGAAATGATGATTCAAAGTTATTTACATGTGTTTAAATGATAGTTTTATAATTATCATAATGTATTATTGTAAAATGTATATTCAAAAAGAAAAAGTGTTATTTATTTTCTGAGTAATATAAAATTTGAGGAAAGGTTCTTAATTTTTAATTAATCATGATTTTAGTAAAATCTTAGTGTTTTATTTTACATTTTGTCGTATAATATTTACAACATTTTTTTTAATATCTCATTCTTTTTTAATTTACTCTAAAATATCTACACAAAAGATTTAATGAAGGAGAAAGGATCAAAAAAATGTTTACGTAATATTGTAAAAAGACAAAGTTCGATGCACAAAGTAGCTTCATCGCGGGGTCTATTTTGTGCACAACTTTTAATGACTACAACTCCGACAAAAAAATTTATTTCATTGCCTAACTCATAGGAAACCTTCAGAAGGAAGTCCATAACATATGTTAAAAGTTGATTTTCTTTTAATTCTGAATTTGAATAAAGCATTGAGTTAAAAAAAGCATTTTAATGCACAAAATAGCCCCTGCAAAAATATTTACTATCAGCTTGACATAACGAGAGAATTTCATTTACATAATATTATAAAATTAGCGCATAAAAATAATTTCAGAAAAGTATTCACCAATAAGAGCGTTACGATCAACAGTAATACCAGCTTCAGGCGCGGATCCACGGTGGGGCGAAAGGGGCGATCGCCCCCCCCCCAAACACACTTACTCACAGTGTAATGTTAGGTATTAATATGTCTATGCCTTCATTACTATAGTAATATGCCTTATATAGTAATATGCTATAGTTATGCCTTATATATAAGGTTTTAATTTACGAATCGCCCCCCCTAAAATTTGCTTCTGGATCCGCGCCTGCTGTGCTTCTGCTTGGTTGACATAAAGACATTTTAAATTAAGCGCCAAAAGTAAAGGCTTTTTTTCGAATATTAAGGTATTTTTTAATGAGTCAACGGTTGCCGAAGCACTGAAATATAAAAGGACACAACTATGTCTGTCCTCTTCTATAATATGTGTTGTTGTAGCAACTGTTGATCCATGAATTTGCACCTTCACACTGTACGCCACAGGCGCCACGGAACTGACATTTTATGTGACACCACGGAGCTGACATTTGACATTTAAACTAACCTAACTCCGACAATTTTGCAAAATAAATCTTTTCTTTGGGCAGATAATTTGTTTCTAATATAATCTTCGAAAAAATCGTAATAATTACCACAGAGAGTGTTTAGATTAAAAGAATAGTAATACCACGGTACTGACCACTTTTTTTGTGAACTTCACATTTTTACAAAAAAAATTGTTTTTAAC